TTTTTCTTCCTCTCTTAGGTGGATCGTCGGGTCGTCTCAGTCCTGAGCCGCTGGCAGCGAAACTATTCCATTAAGACGATCTTGCAAGAGCTCCGCCGTGCGATGACGCTTAAGGAGAACCTAAAGCTGAACCAGCCCCCTGAGGGATCACAGTTCTGAGCGCCGCAGTTGGGAGTGCAAAAAGGTTGCAAAAGTCGGCCGGCTGATCAAAACAGGTGGGACTGAACTTGCAGGTCGTTCATCACTCACCGCCACCCGACCACTTCAACACACACCCTGAGCTGACCAACTGAAGTAGCGGCCACTACTACCAGAAATCTGCCTCTGTGCACTATCTCTCACCTTCTTCTCCTTCTCTTCCTCCACCACCACCACCACACACACACCTACACAAGCATATTGAAACACCACTAATAGATTCCCTAAGCTCTTCTTTTTGTATACATTTAAAAAATATAATTTTACTCTTATCTTAATTGCCTCTCCAATGTCTGCGATAAAAGTGAAACTTCGTCTGTACACCAACTGCTTTTGATGCTAAAAACAACGTATTAGGTGCTCTTTATTTGTTTGACCATGTTTAGATATTATATTGAGAGATGAAGTACATCGTGCGCGGGGGAAAGGTTAATGATGAGGAGTGTGAATGTAGAAAACATATAAGGAAAGGAAATCATATTGGATAAGCTGGCGAAAAGGGATGCGCTCAATGACGCACAATAGATAAATAAATGCCCAGTTGGTTCAGTCTGGTGGTATGTATAGTAAGTCGGGTGAGTCGTTTGCTTGATTGATTGATTGATTCTTTGTTTGTTTGGTCTTCCGCATATATTATTATTATTATTGCGACGATGGCGGGTAGTTGGCCGGCCCGGACTGACCAGCGGAGGAAGTCGGGGGCACGCCTGGCGGCGGAAGCCCTTGCTGGTAGGCCGTCTGATGAGGCCCTCCTGGCTCTGGTCCTCCTCCCGAAGGCGTCTGGTAGTAGCCGTGCGGTGGAGGGCCGCTTGCCCGCCCATTCTGCCCGTACTGAGGAGCATAAGCACCGGGTGGCGGCGGCGGCCCGTAGCCCTGGCCTTGTCTACTGTTCGGCGGAGGTAGCATTCCACCTGGCTGTCCGGGCTGCGGGGCAGAGCCGGGCTGCGTCGACGGCGGCGGGCCGTAGGGACCGGCTTGGGGAGGAGTGTAGTTGGCACCTGGCGGGGGAGCCTGTCCCGGCTGTTGCCCGTAGTGATGTTGTCCGTAGGGGTAGCTTTGAGGAGGTGGGTGGTTGTAGTAGCTGCCGGGAGGATAGTTTGACCCTTGCTGGGATTGCTGGTACGGCTGCCCTTGGGGAGGCAGGTTTTGAGGCGCCGGAGGGCCGCTTTGTGGGGGCGGGTACCACTGAGTCTGATTCTGAGGCGGCGGTGGCCCGTACTGCGGATACTGGCCAGACTGCTGGCCGTATTGAGCATTTGGTGGATAGCCACTTTGCTGTTGAGGAGGCGGCGGTCCGTAGTAGTTACCCTGAGGGCCGTACCCTTGAGGATGACCGTAGGGGTTATTGTGCCCTGGCGGGGGATAATTTGATTGGTAATAATTAGACCCTGGGTAAGCGTTCGGAGGAGGCGGCCCTTGTGCTCCCGTAGACTGTGGTGAGCCACCTGGCTGCTGTTGAATGTGTTTATTGGGAGCTGGAGGGTAAGGGCTGTGCATCGACTGTCCGTGAGTTGATGGTGGCCTTTGCTGCTGCTGCTGTTGTTGTTGTTGTGCCTGGGAAGTCGGCGGATAGCTGCTCTGTGCAGGCGGTGAAGTACCTGCCGACGGCGGTGCTTCTGAACTTGGCGGTCTTGATTCGTTCTTAGGACTGGGCTCTCTGAGTCCTTTTGAAGATTGCGACGATGGTGCTGCTGGTGGCTGGTTCTGTTGCTGTGTTGAGGGCGGCTGGTGAGAAGGTTGAGATGTTGGCTGTAACTGGGAAGTCGGTGTTGGCTGTGGTTGCTGCTGCTGTGGCGGTGGCGGCGGCGGCGGCGGTAGCGCTGAATGCCCCTGTGATGGATGCCCAGACGGATGCTGAGAGTTCTGCAAATGGCTGGAATTCATGTACTGAGGGTGGTGCTGAAGGTGTGGAGGTGCTTGTGATGATGGAGGGTGGTGCTGGGGCTGAGAGCTCTGAGGGTGGCCATAGTGTCCTCCATGCTGAGGAACTTGATGGGGAAGCATTGATGGAGGTGCGGCCCCCGGCGGCCCATTCTGCTGTCCGTTTGGAGGCCCATGCGGGTGGCCTGGCGGGAGCGGAGGGCCGTTCATTGCCGGTGGAGGTGGTAATGCTTGGGCCAAGTTGGGATTCGTTTCAGCCACCGTGGCCAAGTAGCAGAGATTACTGTGTAGCTTTTGTTGGTACTGGTAACACTCGTAGGCCTTGCCCTTTGACTGGTACTCGACGATACACTGGATTAGGTGAGTATTCTCATCCAGCATCTAGTGAAATGAAAAAAAGAGAGAAAAACACGTGTGAAAATGTGCATATAATACAGTGAACTGACAATACCTTTTGCATCTGAATTGGGTTCAACGGCGGCGGGCGCCCTTGGTGGCCCCCAGGAACTCCCGACGGTGGCGGCGGTTGTGCTGCTACATTTTGCTGCCCCGGTGGCGGTTGACTACCATTTGGCGGGCCCTTTTGCTGCGGTGGCGTTTGGTGATATGCGACTGACATTTGATTGATAAAAGGCGAGTATCGAGTTTCAGGTGTAAACCTTCCCTTCAGTCCCTTCAGTCCGAAGATAATACCCGAGTTGGAGAGAATTATTCTCGCTCGGCTGAAAAACAGTGCTCTTTATTTTTTTCACTGAGAATTTTCACAAAGAGCGCAAAGCAGCCTCTGGATGAAAATAGTGACTTTACCCGTCACTCGTTTGGGCGGTTCTCGTTCTTCGCTACATGACATTGGAGCATTTTCTGGCAAGTTGATAGACAAATAGAAGTTTTTAAATTCTGCGCTTTTTAGGGTCGCTGATAAGAGGCCAAACAAGAGATAAAATCTCTGTCTGCACGTCGTTTTTGAGTGTGTTTTACCCTCGCGCTGAGTCGGTACTGTTAAAATAGAGCAGTGTTCATGAGTTGATTTCTTTGGAGTGAGACGTTTGCCGCTAAAGATCAACGTTTCCAGCTTACCAAAGCCAACCAGGTGTCCCAAAGGTGTCCAAAGGTAACCGAACAGTGTCCAGCAAAAGGCCAACTTTTAACTTGTCTGCTCAAGGTAAGTACTGGGTGTGGCAGTTGAGATTCAGCTGACACTTGACTAGCCTTTTGCAAGTTTGTTAACCGAATGTTTATTTTGTCTTTCAGTTTAGGTCATTGCCACCTATATTTATTTGCACACGTATACTTGCTTTTCTAAATGGCTTCATCAATGGTAAACGATAACCACGTTGCGAGCAGTCAGGCGGACACAAACTCAGACAATGAAGACCAAGAATCTAATAGCGCCAACCTGACCGGCAATGAGGACGAGGAGCTCGAGGAGATCAAAGCTAGAGTCCGTGAAATGGAAGAGGAAGCTGAAAAGCTAAAACAGATGCAAGATGATATACTGGCAAGTGCAAGTCAGAGTACGTATTCACCAAGTTGAATTGACACGCCTGCCAATGAGCATCAGCACATTAGCCGCTAATTTTGCTACTACCCATGATGATAATATGAAATTCTAAATAATGGCTTTTTCCGCTGACAGATGACTCGGTTACGCTATCGCCGGAGGAAAAAGCCGAAGCTGATGCCAGATCAATCTTTGTCGGCAATGTAAGTTCCACCCGCGCCTCCAGCCTTCAGCCTTAGCTCTTGGAGCATGTGCAGTTGACTGCCCTTTGTGTCATTTCACTCGCTAATGTTCCGATCCATATTTCCTTAGGTCGACTACTCGGCTACAGCAGATGACTTGGAGAAACATTTCCACGGTTGTGGTTCTATTAATCGGGTAACCATACTCTGTGATAAATATACGGGTCATCCAAAAGGGTAAGTCCAGTGGTCATGTAATCGCAGGGGAGAGCACAGTTGTCAGTTGCATTCAAGCGCTGCTGCTGTCTCCCTTGGAACAGGCACTTGCTACACTTGTTCACGCAAACCTGCTGTTTTTGACTGCTTCACCCAAATAGTCTTCAAACTCTCAGTCTGTTACTTTTTTTATTTAGATTTGCCTACATTGAGTTTGGCGAAAAAGATTCCGTGGAAACAGCTACTGCTTTAGATGACTCGCTTTTTAAAGGCCGACAAATTAAGGTTTGTCAAACTTTCTTCACCTCTCTTTACTTGCACTTGTCCTCTTTGTCCACCCCTGTGTCTCCTTTGTCTGCCCAAGAAGCCACTGTCGTGTTTTTACCTCTGGCCCACGATCCATTCGCATATCGGCTTTGCGTAATATGCGTCTTAGCTCCGGCTAGCGCACAGTTATCAGTCCAAGAGGATATGGCGAATGGCATCAGTGGGACACGTGGGTCACAACTCTTTGTTTGTTCGGGCATTGTCACTCCTCTTTTAGTTTTTTCTCCCTCCTCCAGCATCACTTTACCACCTCTGGCAGCCGCCCACGGAGCTATTCGTATGTCTAGCTTTTGACACTCACAAGAAGATATACGTGAATGGCATCTGTGGGAGGCGTACGCCATGCTCCGTCCATGCTGGTGCTGGGAAAGCTTGATCAACTCTGTCTGTGTTTACTTTAATTACTGTTGTGCATTTGCACTGCTATTGCTTCAGGAGTGCATTGGTGGTCTTTTCTTGTCCTGTGTCTACTCCCTACCTACTTCATCCTCCTCTAGTGCGGTTTTCCCTTAGCATTTGTTCACGATGCTTTTTTTGATGTTATGATTTCAGCGCACTAGCTTGGCTCTGACCTTTTCAGCGCCGCTGCTGCACTGAATCACCAAGAAATAAGCTCGTTGTAACAAATGTCAAAGGAGAATTGTCTTTTCCGTCTTCACTGTCGCTTTTTATTTCTTTTCGCTTTGTGTCGCAATGTTTTTTTTTATTTCTGAAAACAGTCGCACGTTTACTTTTTTCTAATCAATTTTGTTATAACTTTCCCTAAAGGTTTCAGCAAAACGAACAAACCGCCCTGGACTAAGTACCACTAATCGTCCGCCTCGTGGCCGTGGCTCTCGTGGCCGTGGTGGTTTCGGACGTGGTTACAATGCCGGTGGCTTTGGAGGCGGAAGCCCTTGGGGTGGCGGTGGATTTCGCGGTGGCCGAAGACCGTTCAGGTAAGACTAATGCGCGACCTGTGCTTTTCACCACCAGTGCTCTAATCACTTTACACCTCCCCCGCAGACCTCGCGGCTATCACGGCTACTCCCCCTACTAAAGCTATCTGAAGACTAGCGCACCTGCAATGTTTGCTCATCATTCACACTATCGTCTCATTTTGCCTGTAGTACAAGGACACACATTTGCCCTTTAACCCTCTTGCTGTCTATCGAGTAATCATTCACAAACACACCCACATTGAACTCACTGGATTTTTTCCATTTTGTAAACTGTATTTTTTCTGTCAGTTGACATCCACTGAACTTCATTTTTGTATTCCCTCTTTGTCAATAATTCTCTCTTTTGAAAAGCTAGCTACTCGCAAAGATTAGCTTTTGATATGATGTATAAAAGTTTAATAATGAGGTAATAATGAGAAAAGTTATGTACTCAATGCAATTCCAATTTGTATTTAATCTATTTGTTCATTGTTTTGTAGGCAAATGTAAGAAAATATTAGGAATTTCAAATAAATGAAAATGTGCTTAAAAAAAGAGCCAAATGATAGCTTTCCTATTTTGCCGTAGCACACAGTGTAACTATTTAAAGAATGAAAGCGCTCAATGTATTCAGACAGCTTGAGCTGATCGGCAAAGTTTTTAAAGTGCTTTTGATAGACAAAAATGTGCATCAGTTTCTTTGTTGGTCTGTGAAGTTGTACGGCAACGTAGGCCATTCGAAGGTGCATCATGAAGACGAAAATGATTTCAAATGCAACGATTACTGATAAAATAAAGACCAGTGACCTCCTAAGTGGAACTAGCACTAACAGCATCACCATGATGGCATTAGATGGCAAAATGACCAGATTACTGTAGAACAACGCCATTCCATATAGTCGGTTAAAGTCCTGCAAATAGTACAGCACCTCAACATTGTGACACTGAAAGAAATGAAAGTGAACTGGCCAAAAGTCGATCGGTCTAAAAACGTTGATGAAACGATTCATCTGCTTCAACTTGATGAATAGCATGGTCATGCACAGCATAAACAGCGTTGTAAAGGTTGTGAAGATGTGGAAGATAATTGCGGCAGATAACAGCTGAAAGAGACCAGTAATGTGGCTACAGGTGTAAGCTGCAATGCCCCACAACTCTCTAAAGTATCCATTTTTCATGAACTTTTCCCAAATATCCACATGATTGTGCATATAGTGAGCTACTGTAGGACAAATCAATTGATGTCAGGCACACTTTTTTTTATTCACAAAAATTTACCATTCAAAATCTGCAGAATATGCAAACTGTTCCGCACTAATTCAGCCAAGTGATTGAGAACCTTCTTAACGTCCTTTCTTCTGAACCATCCAACGCTGCTAATATTCCAAATAAAAAAACCAGTTTTTCCATGAAGTAAAATATTCTGCAAACACACCGACGAGTTTCCCACATTTTGGCGGTATGTGAGCCCTAAGTGTATCATGGCCAAGCAGATGAAGGCAAAGAAAACAGCATTGCCATAGTGGTGAAATCCTACAATGAACATGTAATTGAACTGTGCGTAGTTAACCAGTGGAGGCATTAGCTCTGCGTAGACCAGGAGAAAGAGCATGTGACATCCATGAATGGCCAACACTAATTGATAAAAAGCAAGAGTGTAATTGATTTTGCCTAGAGAATTTTCTCTGACAGTTGCACAGTAGCCGGCATAAAAATGAGCAAAGTTGAACATTCTGCAAAGGAAGAAAAGTATAGTGTTAAAGAAGTATTTTAATTACTTTGACATTGCGATTTTTACATCATGAATCACTTAGGAGTTTTTTACCACAAAATACTTTAGGTAAGTACAGGTAACATTTTTTGACAGTTATTTTTTGTAACATTTAAAAAATATTTCAACAAAAAAAATAAAAAGTGAACAAAGTTTTGCAAAAAACAAAAATTAATATTTTGATTGTTGGGTACAACAAATATGAGCACCAGTGAAAAATATTTTTGCTTCTCAAAACTCTATTCACTTAAAAAATTTTTGAAAATCAATAAATTATTTTTAATATTTCTTGGTAATGTTTGTTATTGATTGTTATTTAAAAATCATTTGTCATGAGCCTTGTGTTTTTCATTAGACACTGAGATCAAATTTTGATACTTTTGTTACTCAAGAAATAAACGTATAAAAATTTACTTGAATGTGGTAAGGGAAAATGCGTTTTAATTTTTTCAGTTGGCAAAACATTTTAAGTTGTTTTTGTTATGTAATTAATAATTTAAAAGTAGTTTATAAGAAAATATTATAAATTTTATATAGAAAAAGGTATACTGTTTAAATAGGGAACATACTTAATTAATTTAGTCAGTTACAAAATGGTGCAATACCTTTCCAAAACTCTGGTAGCAGACATATCCAAATCNTGTAATTAATAATTCAAAAGTAGTTTATAAGAAAATATTATAAATTTTATATAGAAAAAGGTATACTGTTTAAATAGGGAACATACTTAATTAATTTAGTCAGTTTTAAAATGGTGCAATACCTTTCCAAAACTCTGGTAGCAGACATATCCAAATCTTCCAAGCGCAAATCCATACTGATATTTTGTATGGAAATGTTCCAGGTAGTGTGCTAGTTTCAATTTAGTTAAAAAAGTTTTGGTTGTTATTCCTTTAATTATTACAGAAAAGAAAAAAACGGCAGGATGGTGAATTTTGCGAAATTGATAAGCAATAACGTAATGTAGTATAAAGATAAAGAATATTTGCGTGATGATAGTTATAATGAGAAATATTTGCATCGAGACGCTGATTTTACGATTAATCAGCAGTGACATGACAAGAAAAGCATTTGACGGGCAGTTTAGTAGTAAAAATGAAAAATATGCTTTTCCAAAAATATGGTTGATGCTCTGAAGAATGTATAAAAATTCATTGTTTTTATTAAGAAAAAAGGTCACTATATTTTCAGGAAATAACTGAGCATCATGTTGAGTTGCAAATTTTTGCATTTGCATTAGTCGAAAATGTGCAATGACAATTGCTAGTAGCCCTAAAACACCAGTGAGAATGAGACTATCAATTGTAAAAATAACAGCTAAGCAATGATTTAAAAAGGTTATTTGAAAAAATGTAAAATCGACTAGTCCAGCAGTGGTTGATAAAAACTCATTTTTTATGAAGTATTTTACTAAAACAAATTGTTTTTCAAAAAAATAAATACCTAAAAGATGAACCAATAAGTTAATGAGTTGTAGTCATAAGAAAAAATTTCAATACCAACAGCGTAGTAGAGAACTTGCATCACATTTCTCCAAGTTATGGCAATTTTTTGAATGTTGGCAGAAATGTTTTCTGCTTTGTAGACATACAAAAACAATTTATTGTTTTCCCATTTGCCCAATTTGACATTTTTTAAACTGCAATTAAGAAAAAAATTGTTTTTTCCATGTACAAGAATGTCTTTCATGATGTTTAAAATCAAACAATTTTTGTGAAAGTAAAATATTTGCATATAGTAAACTGAAAGAACAAGAAAAATGATAAAAACAAAGTTATGAGTTGACTCCAAACCATCTAAATAAACAAAATTAAATTGCACTACATTAAAACGATGTGAAAAATTAAAAAATGCAAAAACTGTTAAGTGAAACGATCGAATTAAAATTATAAACGAAGAAAAATATATTTGAAAAACTGGCAACTTATTACCAGAGTTTAGTTGTTCAACAGTGTCAAAGTAGGTAACAAAATAAGACAAGTTTTTAAAAACATTTAGTTTGGTCAACAGTATTACCAATTGATCAAAATAAGATTTTAAAAAATACATTTTGTCAAATATAAATTTGTTTCTATAAATTTTTCTCTTATGTAAAAAATATATTTTTTAAACCAAACTCAAAAAAGTACTTTAAAAAGTCTTGACAAGTAAAGTATTACTAATGATAAATGTTTTTTTGAGACTATTTTTTTAATAGTTAACTTTAAAAACTAAATATTTGCACAATCAAAATTTTTTATTAAAGAAGTTTTTGTTTTAAACTTAAAATCACATATTTTAACATTTGCTTGAGCGTCCTGTTGTAAGTAGAGCATTTTTTAATTAACTTTTAATAACACCTTACTGTGAGATCAATTGCACACATCCTCGTTAATTTGTTTTGATATTATGAAGTTGTCTAAAGAAGTTTTTTATGTGTTTCTAAACCAAATAGCAATTTAAACGTAATTTTAAACTTTAAAAGTTTATTTGTTTTTAGTTCAACTAAAGTTTTATTTCACAAGGCGGTACCCAACCTCCAAAATGATCTTCAAGTGCTTCGGCTACTTGAATTGACAGATTGTCGTTTTTGGCCGTAGCAATGACTTGTATTCCGATGGGCATACCTTTACGATCAAGTCCCATCGGAACGTTGGTCACTGCCACGTTTAAGGCGCTGAAAAGTGAAGTAAATTGAAAACTGGAGAATTTAGACAAAGATTCATTGTGCTTCATTGCAGACTCAGGCATTGCTGGTGCTATTAGAACTCCATTGGGCCCCAGGAGCTGATGCAAATCTGCCTTAATACGTTGCCACATTTCTTTGTTGGCGTCAATGTTTGCTCTCCACAAGCCGAGCTCTTCTGAAAGAGCAAACATCATCACGGAAGCAGTGTATTTTTTCTGCAGTCCAAGTGCGCACTTGAACAGCTCCCAGTAAGGGTTCATTTCTTGCCGTTTGCCATCAGTGAGAAAGTCAATGAACAGTCGATGGTCTGGATCATGCATTGCTGCAGACCATATTTGGAAAGTGTTCTTCATGTCGGCAAACTTTCTCTCTGTGTCTAGTTTGTAGATGTGTGCTCCCCTCTCGCCAAGGTACTTGATTGTTTTGTTGATAGCGCCAATAATTTCCTTATCAACAGGACTGACCATTGGGTCATCTAACTGATGCAAGTAGTGCACATTGAGGTTAGAAATATTCAATGGCGCTTCTTTGGGAAGGCTCAGATTGTCTCCAGCCAGCACCTTCAGCATTGGACGTATGTCTGCCGCGTATCGACACATCGGACCTAAAGTGTTGATGCCATTGCGGATGTGACTGTACTCAGGGAACACACCATCCTCGGCGATTTGTCGTGGAGTGGTTTTGTGGCCAAAGATGCCGCAGCAGAAAGCTGGAAGACGCACTGAGCCGCCGATATCAGTGCCAATCTAGTGAACGAGCTAACAAATAACATAAACCAAAAACGCTAAAAACTTACTCCGATGACTGAACCACAGGCTGCTATAATGGCACCTTCACCTCCTGAGCTTCCTCCTGGTATCCTCGCCTTATCGTAGGGATTATTTGTTCTGCCGTCTACCCTGTTAAAAGTGTCCTGCCACATAACCAGCTCAGGTACGTTTGTCAGTCCCAGGAAAATGGCTCCTCCAATGGTTTTCATTCGTTCAATCGCCACTGCGTCACGTCCACCAACAATGTCTTTTCTCGCGTAAACGCCACCTGAAAAAGTTTTGCCTTTGGCCATAATGGAAT